ACCTATCGTCTGCAGTCGTCCATGCACAAACCAATCACATCTGTGCGATCCATACATGAATGGTAAATACAAACCAAAAAAGTATGAAGAAAAGAGAAAATCACCTGTACCCTGTTCATTAGGCTTATGACTATATTCCTCCCCCGTTATTATTTAAAGCTATGAAGCTATGCAAAACAGGCAAAAAAAACTGTTGATGAGAAATGTTTATTTCATATTCAGAGTCATTACAAATGTCGTACAAAGGTTAAAACTCTGTAGAGCTAAGGAATAATTACTTTAGTTGCCAAAACCAGCAAGGTGAAAAAAGAAAGGTTGGAATACATGACGTCTTCATAATGTGACATTCTGGAGTCTGGTGTTAAATTAGGAAAGAGTAATAGTGCCGACACATTGTGCTAACAGGACACAGTTCCTGAGTGTAGTAGTGAAGAGAGGCGAGAAAGTTAAAGTGTTGGGTGGAATGGGAGGGTCTTTAGAAACTCTTAGACCATGAGGAGACTGTGGACTTTCTGCAGCTGCTGCTGGGACAGGACGAGGCGGTGGACTTGTTCCTGACCTCGGGTGCAAGGGAGGGCAACACGACCCACAAACACTGTCCCACCTTGTTTCTCTTCCTTAGCCTGAGGGGGAAAGAGAAAAGATTCATAACCCAATCAAGAGCTAAGGGAAAGAAATGTTTCGCATTGCATTTACTGGGAGGTTGTACCTTAACGAAGGACGACAACGGGAACGTGGCGAAGTCGGAGGAAGCTCTTGCTCCAGGCTGGGTTGAAACCACATGTTCAGCAACCTCACCCTGAAACAACATTTTTCGTCAGTGGGAAAGTTTTGTATTATTAAAATAAGACATGAAGATAACAGTCTGAAGTAGAAGACTTACCTGCAGTTTGTCCAGGGCGTCTTTGAGGTTCTTTAGACGAGCCGTCTGTTCCAGCAGTTGGGAGCTGGCACTGACTGCAAGACGGGAAAGATTTAATACGGTTTAATAGTCAAGAAGCAAAAAATCATCAGAGGATGTATATATATCCTTTTAATTTTTACATCCAGTTGTGCTACATTATAACCAGCATCAGTGCATTCATGTAGCAGAAAATCCTATTTTACTTCTTTTGACTAATAAAAATCCAAAATATGTCAAATTTAGGCCCCTTTGCCTTTAATCAACTTGTGTGTTTTTTAATTTAATATGTGGGGGAAAAAAACATTTAGTGTAAATACTTCTGCAAGGTCCTGCATTAAAGAAATAGGGCAGAACAATTGGTTATTAAATTATTGAAATAATCGTCAACTAATTTAGTAATCGATAAACTTTAACTGGAGTATAGACTCTAAAACATACCTTTAGCTGAAAGAAAAACCCACTTACAGCAGTAATTATATAACAATTGTAAAACATTTAATATTTTGCATTCAAGATAAAAAAAATTAAGGTTTATTCTGTCAATACGCTCTGTCCACAACTTCTTAAGTGGAAAAATTTTAATTGGTTTAAATTTTGTATGAAAACTTAGAAGGAACCATTTGCTCTCCGATTATTAAATTAGAACGTTAAGCAACAGATTTTTCAATTTGCAAAATAATGGTGATTTGTAGTCCTATAAGGAGGATCAGAGGGGAATCAGACCTGCTGTCTTTCCTGTGATGTCCACCACCTTCATTTCAGCACTCAGCTTTAGCAGTGTGGCGAGCAGCTGGTCGGTCCTACGGTAGATCCCTGTGTTCAGTCCCTCTGGAGGTGTGGAGCTTTCTTTGGACACCTGTGGGAGTTTTGGAGGGCAGAGTGGAGGCAGGGATGCCAGCTGAGCCTTTATCTTCTCTGCCTGTGAGTAAAATCGGCAGCGTGGGTCATTATATCAACGGTTTGCAGAGTTTCACAATTGAGATTTCCACCTAAAGGGAGCTGACCTTCAGTCTGTTGTTTTCATTCTTCAGGTATTTAATGCCCAGTCTCTGGACCTCAACCTGCTGCCTGAGGAGAGGGGAGTCCACCACCTGTGTTTGTCCTGCCAGGGATGGAGGCAGACCTCCTGGAGGTCAAAGAAACAATTCTTGACATATTTAATATATTTCCTGAATTTAACAACCACTCTATTAGTATTAGGTGGTTACATTTTTTTTATTTCTGAATCATAAATGATAAGCTAAATCTTATGTCAAATAAAAATGCATTATTCCCAGTTTCACACTAAAAATAAAAGGCTTGCCTCCTGCCGATCCCTGAACAATAGAGCTGATTCCAGCACCGGGGGGAGCTCTAAGGCCTTCAATCGTCATCTTTGACTGATTATGGATGCGCTGTTTAAGCTCTGCCTTTTCTGCCTCCAGCTGGTCAATATCTGCCTGCAAGGCATCCATGGTCTCCTCAAACTCCCTGCAGACGGACGAGCGAGGAGATAAATGAGACAGGCAACAGAAATGGAACATTTGGTGCCAAATCCAAATGATTCCTACTTTTCTTTCTTCTTCAGCAGAGCAAGGCTCTCATCCAGTTTGGTCTGAATCTTCTCCACACGTTCATCTGCGTCTTTGGTGGAGGTGTCCAGCTTCTTCTCCAAAAGGCTGAGGCGGACGTTGGCTTCACTTAGCTCCTCACCCTAAGAACAAGAACATTTGCAGCTCCTGTTATGCTGGTTTGCAAAAGTATTGATTCCTCAGAGAATCATAAAAGTGGGAAATTAACCTGGATATCCGACTGTTTTTAACACAGAATCTGAAACTTGTGGCATGGATTTATACATGCAGCCACTACCATGTTTTGCCATAGGGATGGTGGGTCTAATACTTTGGTCTTATCTGACCAGAGCACCTTCATCCATGTATTTGCTGTGTCCTTGGCATAGTTAATGGCTGACAGCTAAAATGACACTTCCTATCAATCTGTTACATATGAAAATATTTTTCATTTGGCTCTACTTTTTGCTGCTTTATCATTTTAAAAACCCTATTTTGTGTTTGCAGTGAGCAAAATGTAGAGAAAAAAAGCTGAAGGAACATTTTCCAGACTGTAGAAACATTTTATATTGATAGATCTAGTTTTTGTCACCTTAATTTTGAGGGACTTCTTGAGCTCCTTGATGACGGTTTCTCTGTCTTCTAGTTTTACTCCCAGACCCTCTGCGTCGGTCATCTCAGCTCTGACTGTGGCGGCTCTCATCTCCACTGGGGGAGTCTGACGACAGTGGATGGAGGTTAGGATGAATAACCTTTACGTGCTTCGAGTAGCTTGTATAGTATAATAGGACTCATACCTTTCCTCTGGGTTTCTCAGCATCATACTCTCCTTCCTGCATTGCTGTAGCCATCTTGTTCATGGTTGTGATGACAGAGCTGCAGGACTGTCGCAGGAGCTCAGGGCCGTTCACACCCTGGGAGACGTACACCTTGAAGAAGGTGAAGGAAAAATCATTTTCACAGATGCAAGTGTAATTTCATAATAAAAAAAAAAATTGTAACTCAAACAGTTTGTGACCGGTTTGGTTGGAGTATCTGAGACAACTGCCGTATATTCCGGATTATAAGGTGCTACTTTTTTCCCCACGCTTTTAACCATGCGGCCTATAAGTAGGTGGCTTTTCTGTGGATTTTTCATAACTGCTAGACTGGGAAGTTAAAGTTGGAAATGAAAAGAATAAGGGGCTAATTTGCATTTAGCATAAGCACATGCTAGCAGCAGGCACGACAGAACAAATGTTCAGAATTTACATATTTTGACATTTATTTGCATCATTAAAGCTGCCAAACCAATGAAGAGACTGGGCTCAATTCTTTTAGAGCCAACGAAGCCTCATCTTTCAGTAGAAGCTCTTAATGCTGCGAGCCAACAAGCTAACAGGAGCTAGCATTCTTCTTCGTCCCTACTCCAGGGGCTAGATGTAGAGCTCCCCCTTCAGGTTTGGTGGGGGGACAGTTCAGTGGCTTATATATGTACATTTCCAGGTTTTACAAAAAAAAAATTTAGCCGGTGCGGCTTATCGTGAGGTGGGCTCCATAGTATGGAAAATACGGTAGTTTTCAGTTGTAAATTCCCTTCCTGAATACCACCTTTAACATGGAAGTGGTTTTAATTAATAAGGTTTAGAAACCTGGGGCCACTTACCTGCTCCACCACCTTACATACAGTGTCCTCCAGTCTGAGAGCATTGAGGCCATCTTGTTCTACCAGCGGAGCCATCATCTGAGCCCCCGCTGCAGCCACCTCCTGCAGTACAGCAACCACTCGGGTCAGCTGTCGCCTGCACTCAGTCAGCGACTCAGACACCTGAATGATGTGGGAAAATACGTCAAGAACATCAGTAAGTTAGATTTCATATATCATTTTAACAATGGAATAATACATCACTGTCCTGTTCATTTCTGTACCTGTGATGCGAAGCTGAGAGCAGCAGGGACTCCAGCTACGTCCGTTCCAGGCATGCGACGGCGGATCTTCTTGCAGAACTGCCTAATATCTGAGCAGGAAGTGTCCAGGTCCTTCAGCAGGACAGCGAGGCTGGAGCTCTCCTGGCCTGGTGCCAGAAACGCCCGCAGACGAGCCACCTCCACCCCCATACAATCAAGGGCACCCTGGGTAAACTGAAGGAGCAGCAATTTGGATCAATTAATCCTCCTGATCTATTACTTAATAAGTCAGAATGCATTATGAGAAGAGTTGAAGTACCTTGATGTGATCAGCCAGCAGCATGGTGCAGTCCTCCTCCTGATCTGCCAAATGGACGCCGTACAGTTGCTGGAAGACGATGCAAAAATTAACACACCTCTAAAATTACACCTAGATGGTATTTTTCAGTTTACTTCTCTAACTATAAACATTAAAGCAAGTAGTTATGTGTAAACAAGTCAGCTAGCCAAAACAGGGATCAAAATCATAAGCCTTCAAAATACTAAAATACCTCATTAAATTTATGCAAAAATTTAGCGTTTTTAAAGATTAGACTAGACTAGAAATAATGAGAAAGGAATAAATATAAACTGATCTCTGTGATATTGAATATCATCGATCTGAAGTGTTGGTCATCGCTACATTTTAGCCACTGCCATCTGTTCACAATAATATACTTATATTATTTGTAATCCCCCTATTATGTTTTTTAATTTACCTGTATGACTACAGCCATCTAGTGGCTACTCTTTGCTTTGCATCTTGTAATTAAACAAGCACCAGCATCAGGTTGCAGGTTTGCTTTAAGAATTTCACAGAATATGAAACCCTGTGAATCATTAAATAGATGAAGGTTTGAATGGCATCCTCTAACCTGATAGTATTTGATGGCCTTGGTCAGCGGCTCCACCTGAACGGTCTCATCGAGCTGATCTTTATGCAGCAGGTCAATGAAATAATCCAGCGAGCGCTCATGGAAGCTCATTTCAGAGTAAAGTGTGCCCATGTGTTTAAAAACCTCTACGCTACAGGAGTTCATAGCCCTAGATACCAAAACATTAGGTGAACAGAAAAACGACAGTTAAAGCAGATTGTTTTATTCAAACTGGGGTTTTTTTTGAAGGTGCGGCTCTTTGCTTACTGCTCGTATTTGTGCAAAGTGGCCTGAAGCAGACTGAGGGAGTAGACCAGTCCTGAAGCAAAGCTGCGCTGCTCTCCTGGTGGTCCTCTGAGCGCCGTTCCCTGAGCAAGGCTGCTGTTCAGGTCAAACTTCTCATGGGCCTGTTTACTGATCAGTTCAGCCTGTAAACAAGGCAACTTAAACATGAGCTAAGAGGAAAAAAAGAAAAACTATTTAACCTGAACGTCATGCTGCTGCGTACCTTACAGATGAGCCTGGGAATGAGCAGCAGCACCAGGATGCAGTCGTGGTCGCCGCCATGACGGAGGAAGGAGTCCGGCATGAAGGAGGTGAGCAGGGAAACCTGTCTGTTTGCCTGAGCCACTTCCATTTTCCTCAGCTCCATCTCAATAGCCTGAACACAAAGGATGACATATATTTTAGCTCAGACTAGGAGCCACCATCACCTGTGATGTCTGATCATCTCTGATCTCCAACCTTTGCATACGCTTTAGTTTCAGCAAACTTAATCTTGAAGTCGAACAGCTCTGCAGGCGGCTGCTGAGTCTGCTCAGTGTTTGCACTCTGTTGACTGATCAGCTCCCTGTTGGCTTCCTAAACAACAAAACCAAACCTCAGAGTTATTTATTTAACATCACACAGACTGTGATGAGCTTTTCTTTGCTTCCACTGACCTGAAGCGAAGCAGTGAGCTCTCTGTACTTGTTGATGGTTTGCTGGTAATCAGCCACAGTCTCCTGAGCAGCTTCCACCTTTTTTTCTGCTTCCCGAACCTTGGCAGTGCTCAGGTCCAGCTGCTCCCTCAGCTCCATTTCTGTCTCTCTGGCATTTTCCTGCAGCTCGTCGTTCATTTCATTGATGGCTTCCTGTGGGTTTAGAACAAAATAATAACTGGAAACAACCTCATGGCACCTGCCACTGGTTCAGTAGCAAAACCAGAATGCCTCTTCCTAATGTTTGTTGAAACAAACAAAAAAAACAAATCTGCATTGCTCTTCAAAAAATTGTTAGAGCGTTGGTTTCTCTATTTGCCGAAAATAAATTTCTATTTCCAAGAGTTTTTGGAGAATTAAATCTAACCCTTCTTTCCATCCATGCTTTAGTTTCATTGATAAATAAGAACACAGCTTTCACCTTAATCTGAACTATGAAATAATGAATATGTTTTCAACCAATAATCCAGTTTGTAATAAAACTGAGTCCTTTATTTTAGTATCTTTTACATTTTTTACTTCTACTTTCCTGATACAAAGTAAATCTAAAATAAATGACTAAAACATTTGATAATATTTGTAATAAAGGGGGAACTGACCAAATCAGTGACCGTCTCCCTCATCTCTCTGACTTTCTCTTCGAGGTCCAGGTTCCTCTCAGTCAGCGTCTCCACCATCTCCTCTGACCCCAGAGCTGCATCCACCTGGTCAATAATCAGAAAATGACATCTTTATCTCCCCTGCATGACGGAGACATCCTCTCCTCTCCTGGGAGCATATATATCAGTGTACCTGCTCCTTCAGTTCATCAATAGTGGATTCAGCCTGTTTAAGTTCCTCCTGCAGTTTTTCCTTCTGGGTCCTCAGAGTCTCCAGCTCTGCATTCTTCTTCTCCATTTGCTTCTGCAGCTTCACATGTTCCTGTTTCTCTGATGCAGACAGGTCCCGCATCCTAAATGACAGCAAAGGAACGTTTATTTTCATTTAACCCCTTTTGATTCCAGCCACTCTAAAGAGAAGATTTGATCGTTTCTGAGCTAAATCTCCTCTTTAAAATTCCTTCAAAGCAGCTACCTGACCAACGCCTCCTTCAGCCTGCTGTTCTGCTCCTCCAGCTGTTTCACCTGATAACTGGAAGCAGCTCCATCTGTGCCTGAATGAGAAAATAAGAACAAGAACATTTGAAGAGAAACCATACAGACTCTCCCCTCTGTGCCGTCCCCTCTCCATCTTTTCATACCTTTCTCTGAAATCTCATGCCTCAGGATCTCCAGGTCCATGGAGAGCTCCTCTACTTTCTCTTTCAGCGAGTCCACCTCAACTTGCAGCGACTCCGCTCGCTCTTCAGCCATCTCCTTGTCCAGCGTTGCCATTTCTATAGCGTCAGCAGTATCTGCCATCTCCTCCATGTAGCGGTCCTTGGCTTCCTGCGCTTCCCGGGCCTCCTGCGCGGACACAAGGTAAAAAGAAAAAAAAAAATAGATGTTTTCTTCATTTCATTCAATTTTTGTATTGTTTTCTTACATTAAACAACAAACCTGGATAATTATTTACTTTTGGTTATGAATAGAAAACATTTCATTGGCAAAACTGAGGGAAAAATGGCCGCCCATCAAAAGACAATATGACCAAAGGCAGCAAAGATAACTGGACGATTGTCAGAGATGCACAGCATGAATATTGGCATTAAAACGGACATTGTTAAAAGAAACCAAAACGCGTCCTTCAGTAGTTTGCTACCAGTAGACCAGAACAACCGGGTCAGTGCTGAATTGACATCATCTCTAAAGGTTTAGGATTCATTCACAAGGCGATTTAGAGACTATTACGATGAGAATTACGTTGTCTGAGCACCTTTTTGGCCTCTTTGAGCTGCTTCTGCAGCTCAGCCTGCTGCTCCTGCATTTTGGTCTTCCACTCCTGCAGCTGCTCCAGCTGGATCTTGTGCTTTTCCAGTTCTTTCAGCTTAGCCTTATCCTCGGTTCGTTTCATCTTCAGAGTCTCCAGTTTTTCCTCCAGGTCCTTGACTTGAGCTCGCAGGGACTCTTCCTCCTAAGAGACAAGGAGATCAATTACCTCATTTACTGTCCTTACAAAGGGTTTAATTCACGACAGAAGTTAAACATCTTTGTGCCTCCTTAAGTGAATTGTTCATCATGTGAAAGTAATGAGGGGTCTGTGGATGATGTGGAATCATGCAGCTTCACAATTTAATCCAAATACACAGCAAGGACTTCTTAGATGTGTCCAAAAGTTTTGCCCAGGGTCATATTGTTCTCAGAGTTTGTTAAAAAACTCATGCCAGCATGCATGAAGCCATAAAAAGCTCTACCTGCTTGGTCGGGGCAGGTTCCACCTGGTTAAGTAACATGGATGAAATGTAATGAAAATGAAGGCGATGAGCAGGATGGAGAAATTAAAACATGAAAAGGAAAGATTCAAAATCAAGAGCTAGTTCTGTAGAAGCGTACCTTGCTGGGAGGAGCTGGGGTTTGAGGAGCCAGGGCTGCAGGAGATCCGCTTGGCTGAGGAGTAACTGGGGCACCCAGCGCCCCCTGCTGGGAGGACAGGCTCCCCTCGCTGACATCTCCAGACAGAGAAGCAGAAAGGCTCTCACGAGATGCCTGTTGATAGAAACAGATCTGATGAAGAAGTTATCTAAGCAGACCTTTTGCCACCGTGCCAATTCTCATCACCAGACTCCAATGCTCCAGTGAAGGCAAAAAACAAAAGGCAATCACACCCACCCCCTGTGAGGCAACATAACAGGTGCTCTGACATAACAGGAGCCTACCCTTAGCGGCAGACTGATGCGGCTGGGACGCACCAGGAGGGAGGGGAGTGAGGTAGCAGGCGTGAGGCGTGGCGTGCTCCACTATCATTGGACAATCATAGAAACTGTTAGCACCTGGTAGTTACAAGCTAAAATAGATCCTGATGTGGTTTTAGTCGCCATAACAGCAGCCTGCTCTGTTTGATTATCTTCATCCCACAGACAGCATGAAGGTATCAATGTTTAAAGGTCAAATAAATATTTTATGAAATATTTAGTATTACAGATAACCATTTTTTAAATTTTATTTAAGTGTGTTCCTCTTGTTTTAGAGCATGAGGAGACATATTCTGCTAGCTTGAGCATGATCAGGTTTTCCCTGCAGATCCCTCTACAGCCGGCTGTTATATCCTACTACAGGAAAAATGCTCGCTTAATGTTTGGTCTCCCCTGTGTTTACTCAGGTTTGCCTTCAGCAACTGGAATTTAGGGTTACGGTAATTTGAAGACATTAACCACATTTTTCCTGTATGCTAATGTGAAAGGCTCTTTTTCTGATGAGCTTTCATTTGTTTTAAAGTCATTTTTCTGATTGGATCAGAAAACAAGTCGGTTGCTAATCTGCTCCGGTAGTTTTCTTTATCCAGAAAAATAATCTAAAGCTGTATCTAAAGCTGTTTAAAAGAAGTAATTTATCCTGAAGAAACTGAAAAAGTTATTTTAGTTCAGATGTCTCCTTATTTATCTGCCTGGTGTGTCTATGGTTCATGAACATAAATAGCTTTAACTACTATTCCAGCATCACCTTTCTACATCCAACACTTCATTACATAATCTTATCTGCTGCTAATGAATTTGGAAATGTCAAAAAAATGTGTGACATATGTGCTAACTGCTAAGAGGTGCATGCAAATGCTAATGTCACAACAATGACCTGATTCCATGCTACACTATGCAGATGTTCTGTCTGCACTAGAGCGACTGATCCTGGCATGGTTGTATTGTTATTAATTCAGCCACCACTGGGCAGTACATTATTATACATATTATACTTTAAACCCAAGATGTTCAGCCAAATATTAGGAAAGGAAAAGTGATCATTTGTAACAGCAGTCCATCATAGGTGAAGTATGAACTTAGAGAGAAGCTTATGTGGTATAGCTGTTCCTAATTACTGTGCCCATTTATTTCTTTAATTAATGCTCACAAGTTCCAAATCTGTACTAAAAACAATGTTTAAAGGCTCAAATACTGAATGAATACAACGAGAAGAGCAAAACAGTGTATTTAAAGGGCAGCTGAACTATATACATGCAATCCAATCTGTTTTAACCTTTTCTGGATGAAAAATACAGAAGCCACATCATTCTAGGCAACCTCTACTGCTTAGAAGAAGCTCACCTTTGCAGAGCGGCGGGTAGAGGACTGGGGAGGAGGAGGAGATTTGGAGAAGGATGGATTCAAACATACCAACAGGCAACAAAACAGGCACACACACATTCAGCAGTGGAGTAAAACAGGAGATTAGAAGCAGGTTAAAAAAAGCATATTGGTCTATGTTAGATAACAAGCTGCAGCATGCATTGTTTGGCTCTCTTTGATAGAAATCCTGGTTTAAAGCACAGTAGAAGAGTTGAAGATCATGCAGCAAGGCCTCTATAAAGGCAGTTTGTAGGAGTAGAGGGGAAATGATACTTCAGGCCCGGTTTGGGTGTGAACAGGAAACACCATCAGAGTATGAATGTAAAGAAATCAAGATGGAAAAAAAAATCTGTAGTCACTGATAAGTTATGCTTTTAATCAAAGATTAACAACTGAATTAGTGTGAAGAAGGAAAACCCAGGTGAAGCAGAAGTACTGAATTCAAACAGCAATACCTTCTTAATGTTGCTTGGGGTCTGCAAATAATATTGAGAAAAACAGCAGAAGTCAAACTAAATGCTGACATTCCTTCTCCACCAAAAAACAGCTCAGACAGAAAAGGAGCCTGTAGTTCACAACATACAACTAATAAAAATGTAAAAACTGTTTTTAAATCACTTTCATTATCATCAAATTTACTGACTGTCCAAATATTTAAAACATTTAACACTGTGGGGGGGATGTTTGACTGTTTGATACCTGCTTTGTTGTTCTGGGGGTCTCAGGGATTTCTGGAAAAACAAACAGAGATCACTGTTAGAGATTTTGACAGGAATGTTTTACAGTTTCACCTGTTGCGGGTCTATGTTGTTGTTTTTTTGTCACCTTTTTGTTTGAGTATCTTTGCCAGGGTGGACTCAGGGGTTTCTGGTGAGGTGGCAGCCGAGCCATCGTCAATGACTTGGATCTGCACAGACAGAACAGGACTTTATATTTGGACCAATAAGACTGAAATGGACAAGGATGTTATCTTGGTCTAAACACGCAAAG